TGTGTAACAACTCCAAAATGCCAGTAAAAAAAGAAAACTAGACCTTACCATCTCTTCCAATTGAACTCCAAGGCGTTGATAGACTTTATCAAATTCAGCCCTACTCAGATCACAAATTCGTTTCCATGCCTTGCGATACTTGATTTCTCCACTCTGAAATAAAAATCAAGACATACATAAAATTTAACCATGTTTCCCGTGATCTCACAAATAGAGAGCAAAAAGAGAAAGTCGTAATATTTTACCTGGAGCTGGACCACTGCCTGTTGTGCCCTCAACTTAAACTCAGGATCACTATCAAACCTCACTTTTGAAGCCTTATACAATGCCTAAAAATGCACCAATTTAATACATAACTTTTTCAGTACAAAAACAAATGTTTCATCATCATCACAGAGAAATTAAGTGAAAATCAATAAGATCATTATCCCTCATGGCTGATGGATCATTTATAATAGTTGAGAAAAAGCAATATTCATAACCAAACATAACTTAAACACTCATTTTTCTAACCTCAATTCATGGAAAATTGATGTGAGTCCATGTCTAATGACTACCCTTTTCAAATTTAAATCCTTCTTAAATAATAGTTTTATTATCATACCATATACCTCTAACTATTGGACCTTCCTCCTTTGATCTACTCCCTTTAAAAGAGCTTTTAAAAGCCTTTCCCACACATGTTCAAACAACCTAAGGTGAGATTCTACTATCTATTCCACAACAAGTATTACCCTAACTTTCTCTTTAAGGCATCCATCCGTAATTCTATGCTGCCTTGTGCATCCACTCATCCATCATAAGTTCTTGACATTCTCATGTGTGCAACATTGAACTAATTTTCTCGTGGACTCTTTATTGCCCAACATTTGTTCCCATAAATGATCGAAAGTCTTATAACTATGTGGTAAAATTCCACACACATTTTAGTGGTACATTTTATCCCTTCAACCCACTCAATTGAATCATACGGTTTCTATTTCCTCGTCATTTTGTACAACAGGCCAAGATACTAAAATTGTGTGACATGTGGTATTATATGGTCTGTAATTTTCACCTTTAAGCTAGCATTAGTGTGTCTCCTCTAAACTTACATTTGATATAGTTTGTCTTCCTTCAACTTAAGTGAAAGTTGTGTGTTTTTCAAGTTTGTAACCAAATCTTTAGCTTCACATTTACTTCTTTCTACAAGGAAAAAAGGGTGACAAGAAGAATGGAACTGATTTCAGCCAACAATTCTATTGTGTCAAAAGTTTATTTACGAACAAAGTGCAAAACAGTTATTTGCAGCACTCCGTGTACAGAAAATCCTTTGCTCCTCCTTTTTGCCATATGCCAAGGTAAAATAGAAATTTATAGTTCCAAGCTGGGTTTAAAGGCATTTATAGAAAATTTAGTTATAGATAAAGTTAAATTAGTCCCATGCTGAAATTAAACCAGTTAGAAATTGCAATGGACTTGCAGCAAATAAAATAAAAACAATGCATGACAGATCATGATGAAAAAAATACCAAAAAATATAAACACCAACATAAGAAAAATTGAAATTAATTCAATTTAATATGTTTTCTCACCTGAAGATCTCCAATGGCCGCTCCACTAACATCATCTGGGTTTGGAAATTTTTCAAAGAGGTATGTAATCAGCATTCCGAACTACAAAAAAAAAATGCATGACCTTTGTGCTTTATAGTATCAATAATGAAATGAGAACTTTCCTAATGGAATATTTTATTATTCAAGCAAATACGCCATAAGAATATGGATATCCCTATACGAAATCAGTGGACACCGCTAATTTGATGAGTAATTGATATAATGCAATGTTTAAATCCTTTTCCTTATTGAGAGGGAGGGTAGCAGTGTCTTAGGACATTAATTTTGTAATGTTACACAACAAAGAAGAATAACAGAAAACACAACGCACATTAAGATGTAAGTAAATGTACTTGATCATGGAGACAGTTAGAATATAGAAAGGCAACTTATATCAGCTATTTTCCCAAAACATAATTAATTCTTAAGCCATGAAGTAATGCTAATGACAAAAGCTTGCCAAGTTAAATGATTGTTGCAAACGAAGCACCCAGAGTTGTGGCTTAGATGAAGAACCAAGCTTTGACAGTGTATAGCTAAGATGAAGTCACAAGAAATGGCATGAATAATTTCTCATTAGATTGAACATGAAATATTTTCAAACTCTGGGTACAAAAAAAATATAACATAAGAACTAAATTATACCTGTGTCCCCCAGTCACCAACATGATTTCTGCGGATTACACATTCCACGCGTGAAAATTCAAACATACGGGCCAATGTATCACCAATAATGGTAGATCTCAGGTGGCCAACATGCATTTCCTTTGCAATATTAGGGGACGAAAAATCAACCATAGCCCTCTTGACTGGAAGTCGAGGTGACCATGCATTGATACCATCAATTAGCATTCCCTGTATCCTCTGCAGTAGAAATTTTCTTGCTCTTAAGTACTGACAGATGTTTTAAAAAGCTCAATCGTCCAAACAAATTGAAACCCTTAACTTTCTCATACTCCCATCCAATCAATGAACTCATATCCCACCCAAGTTAAAGTACTTAGACACTAGGTACATACTACTTTTTAATTCAAAATTATATGATGCAAAATGCCATTACCTGTGCTATCCACTTCTTTGACAATACAATGTTGACGAATCCAGGACCAGCTATAGAGCACGAATCTATCATTTCAGATGGAGGAAGATTGTTAACAATGGCCTACACATATAAAAACATACAGATGATCTTTAACAAAAGCAAACCAAACTGTAACTCCAAATCAATATCACTAAAGAGAAACAAAGAAAAAAATAAATAAACACACAGCTGGTGGAATGCAAATAAAGTGAGTGAATTATCTGTGATCATACCTGCCCAATTGCCGGGGGACCCTTAAATCCTGTCTGTTTTCCCTTCACCTTTGACCATATACCCATTGCATTATTGCTGCATCAAGAGAATATTCTTTGTTTAAGTTTACACATTAATAATAATAATAATAATAATAATAATAATAATAATAATAATAATAATAATAATAATAATAATAATAATAATAATATAATATCAGTTTTAAATATTGCACAATCCAATTAAGGGCTTGATTGGGTAAACTTCTGTACAAGCAGTTCTTGGAAAAGAAATAAGGAAACTTACAGAGATAATTTCGTAATTCGTAGAAGTTCTCTCGTATTAATTTTTTCTAAAAGATTGTTTGTAACTTATGTATAAGCTAATTTTAATTTGTCGAGAAACTTATTTCGTATTTATTTCTTATTTTTGTTCTCTTAAAAGTGTTTATAGATAAGTTTTTTCACACATGTCATGGAACCTCATTTTCACTTCGCATGAATGCAACAAGGGAAAAAAAAGTGAACCAACCATTGATAATCACCAAATTTTACGCCACCTTTAACAGCACAAGCATCAACTAACGGCACAACATCTGGCTCATCAGGCACCGTTGCCCTTAGAGACAAGTCAAACAGCTGCGCCAACTGCCTTTTGACACTGGCCGGGTTATCTATTTCCTACATCATTTCAAACACAACACAATACCATTTATCACACACACAAAATGAAATCAAATAAATAAATAAATAGTATAGTGCGTATTTTGATTTCATATTAGATTATTGAGAAACACCTTAAACTAGAAGTTAATGTGATTTAAGGTAGATTTACATTTGGTTTCATTTGCCTTGAATAAAAATGTATTTACAGTTCTAGTAATAACTTGCTTTCAATTGAACTGAGATTAAATTTCACTCAAAATCAATTTAACCACCGCTCTTCCAAAAACATGATTAATGAACTTACAATTACAGCGGTGGACGTGGATTGTGGCTTGGTGACTGGAGATTGCTGCGTCTTGGTCACTGACAAAGCGAATCTCCGAGACGCAATCTTGAGCAAATCTGTCTACACATTAAGGTTCAAAAGAAACGACGTCGTGTTAATGAATTAAGTTAAGGCGTTGAAACAGTGTTGCGTTTGAAACATTGAAGAAAACCAGCGAGAGAAAGGTTAACTGACCGGAACGAGAAGGTGGTAGACATGGAGAGGAGGGAAAGTGAGAGAATCTATTGAGGTTGAAGCACCCTAACCCTAACATTTTTTCTTCTTCTTCTTTTTCGAGGTTCCACCCTTCCCAAACACCATTGTTACGGTGTTAGCTGTTTTTGTGTGCATTGTGTTGGCCTCCGCTGAAGATAGCCAGTGGGCCACCACCACTGAACAGACCATTTTTACAAAAATTCACCAATTTTTTAAATATCCAAATGCATTTCCTTTTGTAGCAAGAATTTAGTTTAAATATATACTTTTCACATCTTTTATACTATTATTCTTCAATCACTTATAATCATACGTAACATTTTTATTTTATTATTGTTATGATTATTTCTGATTAATCGTGTAAAAATAGATGATAGTTAAACTCTTGTATTAGTCTAAACTTTATTTTACGTTGAAAAAATCGATCTTGGGATTTTATTAAAGACTTGAAAACATAACACTTCATTCAGTAAATATTGTCACATATAATTTTATTATTTAAGAAAGGAAAGGAAATATTATGAACATCTTCAAAAATTTAATTAAGATGGTTACATTAAAAAAACTCTTCAATGGGCCGGCCCAATGGGCTAAATTAGCAGATGGCGATACGTGGCAGGTTTTGCAGTTTGGCGCATACTCTACCATGCACCTTGCCGCATAGAAGTTTTCCCCGTCGTTCTTATCCAATCGAACCTTCCCAATGGCATTCCAACACGTACCCATAGATTAGATTCAACGTAAGTTATCATTTACAAGTAGAGAAATTAATTTAAAACTGTTCGCATGAAATCCCTCAATTGCCCTCACCTCCTTTATATTCAAACCTTCACCACCTAGGTTTTTGGGTCACACAACCTTCACTCACTCACTGTGAGAGCGAGATCACTGATCAAGAAAGAAGAATGAAGGACGCCGGAAAGAGCCATAAGGTGAATGGAAGGCCGTCGCCGGAGACGCGGAAGGATCGGAAGTCGGCAACGGGGATGAGCGGATCGCCGAAGAAAGGAGGACACGGCGGAAAGTTCACGTGGATCGGCAACGGCTACGAGCACTTCGAGATCGCGATGGAGCACGGCGCTATGGATGCGAAGGATCCGAACTTCGAAGATCCGGCGGAGATCGTGGCCGTGTGACCGTCTGGTTTTCGGTGACCAGATCTGTACATAGTAATTGGCCAGAGACGTAGCTTTCGAATTCAATAATGTGAAGCGAATCTGAAGGAAAAGCGTTTTCGAGTGCGTTTTCTCTGATTGATTGTTGTAGATCTGTCATATTTCGTAGTAGCATGGCACTTGTGTTTTTGTTGTACATGTATGGTCTTCGAAGTGTAGTCCTACTCACAACCACGATTTCATGTTTCTTCAAGCTTCTGTTAACGATAATTGGATTTTAATTTTCAAGTTTAAATGTTTCACTTTCAAAAAAAAAAAAAAAAACAGATTCTCAGTTAACACTTTTTGGCATGAGGAGTCTGACGAGACTTTGCATGGATCTTTGAAAGTGGACCTTAGAATTGATCTTCATAAATTATTGCCTTTGGCTAAATTTAAATATATATTTGATTAGTGTGTCAAATTAGAATATTTGATAATATATTACATCTTTAAATTCTAGGAAGATAATTCTAGCAATTAACAGTAAGTAAAATGTTAATTTATTAAATTATATTTTATAATTTTTTACACAAATATTCTTTTTTAATTAATTGCTGAAAATATAATTAAATAAAAATTATCTTTCAGAATAAATAACTGAAATAAAATTGTTATAATATTAGATTATTTTTAATTTAAAATTAACTAAATATATAATTGATTATAATTTGATGGGGTATTTTGTTGTAAATGTCATCATTAATTATTATTTTTTAAATAAATAATCCTAATATAACAAATAAATAAATCATATTTGGCTTTTATTAAATGGATTGAATAGATCATAAGTGTTTAATGAAACAAAAATAATTAAAACTCTTTTATATTTGATCCATTATAATAATAATAATAATAAAAACATTCATTATCTAACATTCCTGTCATTCAATATTACATATTATTGTTTCACTTGAAAGTTATATTATTAAAATAATATTTTAATATGTAAAGTACTATATTATATATAATTGAATAAAAAATATAACTATTTATTCAATTGTTTTGATTCTAACAAAATATTATTTTTTATTTGTATTTTTTATTTTAAGAGAAATTTTATTGCAAGATATGAAAAAAATAGTCAAAATAATTTTGTGTGTTCATCGTCTACATCTATTTTCTTATCAATTGTTTGTACTATTACGTCATGTTCATTATTATTATTCTCATAATAATTATATGATTTATATAATTATAATCATAATTAATCGTTATATCATGAGTGACATCATTTTTATTGTTATGATAAGATGTTTGTATTAATATTTTTTATATTTTTCATTAATGTTTTTATTACTGATATTTACTACTGTTACAGTACTACTAATAATAATTTTTTTAATTCTTACTGTAATAACACTATATGTCAATACTATTATCACCATACAAAATTATTCATATTTAAAGACGTATTTATCTTAAGTTTTTATCCTTTTTTTTATCATATTATTTCATTGTATTAAAATTAAGATAAAGGGTAATTAAGAAGGATTAAAGTTTTTAAGAGATAAACATGTAAATTAATATCCATATAATTAATAAAAAAATATTTTTTTAACAAAATAAGTTATAATCCTAGAAATATAATATCACCTAAAATTTGTTAAACATTGATGAAATTAAAAAAAAAAGCATATATCAAATTATGGAAGTTTAAACAACAATAATAAATAATTAACAGAAGTTTAATGAAAGAGGGAGGAAAACTGAAAAGTTTAGAAAGTATATGCGACTAAACTTATAAGAAAAAATTTTTAAAATAAAAATTGAAAAGTATATGCAACAAATAAAAAGCTATACATAAAAACTCGTTTATGTGAGATATATAGATTAGTTGTTATAAATGTGAAATAGGACAATTTTTTTCCTTTTTTAACAAGAAACCGTTTGTTGCCTAACCGTGCAATGCACAACGCTAAACGTAATTGGTCCACGTCACCTGCCACCGGCAACAGTGTTAGGAGGCTAGGGTTTGGCCTGTTTTGGAAGTTAAAAAAAAAAAACCCTCACACTTGCGCCGTTATGGTGCTTCCATTTCATTCCCCTCAGCACACTCACCGTTCTCTTCCATTATTCACTGCTGCTTCAGGTTGGTCTTCTCTCAACTCACCTCTCTCTCTCTCTCTCTCTCTCTCTCTCTCTCTCTCTCTTCAATCCGCACTTCCATGATTTGCTGACACGACGTAGTTCCTTAAACAGATTAACTCTACGAACGTTGCGATTTAACACCACTATCCAATTCCATGGCGTATATTGTAAGTTCAACCAGCTGCTTCGTTCTTCGAATTAATCAATTGATTAATATTTAACTGGCTTTAATTTGCATATGCTGATTTTCTTTTTATCTTTTAATTGGTTTACGTGTTTGTTTCGAATGGTGTGCAGGAATTAGATTGTCCGTCGAGTGTTAAAAAACAGCTGGCTACGGTATTTGAGGTATCTCTGAGGACAACGGTGCCTGATGAACCCGATGTTGTGCCTTCAGTTGATGCTTGCGCTGCCAAATCCGGTGTCAAATTTGCTGATTATCAATGGTTAGTTATGTGTGAATTGTGGAAATGAATTTAGGGTTTCAATTTAGTTGCGAATTCTATCGGCGAAATTAAGATGTATGTTTGCAACGTAAGTGTACCCCGGGTGCTTTTTGAAGCTAGCTAGTCAGCATTTTCGTTTATGGTGCAGTAATAATGCAATGGGTATATTTGCTAAGATTAAAGGAAAGCAGTCAGGATTCAGGGGTCCCCCTGCCGTTGGACAGGTATAGTAAGACATGATGAATTCCCTCTTTTTCTTTTTCCATTTTCCACTTTCTAACTATTGAAGTTGATTTTTTGATGGAAAAGGATCATGAATGCTGGGTTTTTTTGTGTAGGCCATAGTTAAGAATCTTCCGCAGTCTGAAATGATAGAATCATGCTCTGTAGCTGGTCCTGGATTTGTAAATATTGTTTTGTCGAAGAAGTGGATAGCAGAGGTGATTGCATTTTCTATCTTTTAATTTGATGCTAGAGATGTAATGTGGATATTCTTTGAGTCTCTTTGGATTATTGAGTTTACTCAAAACCTCTATTACCATTTAAGTGAAAAACTCCTCCTGCAGAGGCTGGAGAGGTTGTTGATTGATGGTATTGATAAGTGGGCACCCCGACTTCCAGTGAAGACAGTCATGGTTGATTTTTCCTCACCTAACATAGCAAAAGAAATGCATGTTGGCCACTTGAGATCTACCATTATTGGGGACACATTAGCTCGCATGCTTGAATTTACACATGTGGAAACTCTTATCCGCAGAAATCATCTTGGTGACTGGGGGACTCAGGTAGAGTTATCTTCTCAATTAATGCTATATGTGTTGTGAATTTGAAAATTATGCATGTTTATACTGAGTTTAAATGTTTTATGTGACTTGTGTTACTAAAACTTGACATACACTGTAAAAGTAGCCTAGGTTCCTTTGAATAACATGTGGCATTGAGTGACATAATTGCAACCATAATTTGATAAGATTATGTTTATTAGCATTACTAGGCTTGACTTTAATTATGCTTGGGACAATGTTGGGTGTAAATTGCCTTTCTAGCTGTCTTCATGAGCACAAACAAATTACATCCTTCTTAATTGGATGAAGGTATAATACGAGTTCTGTACCACTCTTCTTTTTCATGTAACCTGAAGCGGTTAGTGTCCTAAATCACTTTTCTCTTTCTGTTTCTCTCCCTCTCCCTGGATAAATTAATTTAGATATTGAACTATTTCAATTAGTCCCTAAATGAGGAATGCACATTGCTTCTTTTTTTTTTTTTAAATAGGTATATTCGTATGGCATATTTGCTTGAATCATAAATGTTCTATCAGGAAAGCTCTCATTTTATATTGGTACCATGACTCAAAATTCCATGTATTTGTTTACAGTTTGGGATGCTAATTGCTCACCTCTTTGACACGTTTCCAAACCCAGATGATTTTAATGAAGCAGCCATTGGTGATCTTCAGGTGAGAAAATATATGTAATCAAACTTGATTCCATTTATTTGTATTTTTAATTAGATTTTTTATCATACATTGTTTTGTTAGCATTTTTTATTCTGAGGGCACTGTTTTTTAATTCATTTGATGTATACTCATTCTAAATAATTGTTTTGTTTGGGCTATATTTCATTATTTATGTTGTTCTTTTGTCAATTCTTACAACTTATGGACAATCAACTTTGAAAAGGAAATGTTTATAGTAAGTCTTGAGGATAATATTCTCATTAATTGTCACTTAGTTTTTAACCTTTTGTCAAATATATATCTATTATGAAACTTTTTTTTCACTGGATATGTGAATTATTACTGGTGATTCTGAAGTTCTTTGGTGCATTTTTAGGCATTCTATAAGGCCTCCAAAGTGAGGTTTGATAATGAACCTGAGTTTAAGCTGAGGGCACAGCTGTCAGTGGTCAGACTCCAGGTAAAATTACACTGATAGTTTTCCTTTGTTGTCTTGTTTGGTGGTAGGATCTTCACGACCTTGGTTTTAAATTTAATGTATTTATTTACTAATGTTGGCTTCAGAGTGGAGAAGAGAAGTATCGCAAGGCATGGGAACGAATTTGTGATATTAGTAAGGCTGAATTTGAAAAGGTCTATCAACGCCTTGGAGTACGATTGGAGGCAATGGTAAGGCTTCTATTTTCCTTTTCTACTGACACAGTTGACCTGTGGTGTCTATTGAATTCCTTTTCTGCAGGACATTTGCAGCCAAATTTAACGACTGAGGCATAAATGGCATTGTTCTTTAGCTAATTTGTAATGATGTACCCAAGTGTAACAACTGTGATAATGTATTTGGTTACAGGGAGAGAGCTACTTTAACGATTTAATTCCTCCGACTTTGGATAAATTGGATAAATTAGGATTGATCCAAGAAGATGATGGTGCTCGTGTCATTTTTGTTGAGGGTGTAAATATACCAATTATTGCTGTGAAAAGAGATGGTGGCTACAACTATTCTTCAACTGATATAGCATCACTTTGGTTTGTTTGCACTTTTAGTTTTTAAATAACACATATTGTTTTACTTTTAGCATTGCGGGCTGACATCTATTGATTGTCCATCAGAAGCTAATATAAATAGCTTCTTCATATGGTACATATTAGACACGGAGAAAGAATGTTTAATCCACATTATTAGTCTGTTTCAAACATGCATTATGTCAAATTTATTTGCTTTTTGTATGTCTTTGTATTCTTTATTTCATATAAAATTTGTCTGTATCAACTGCATATAATTTGAATATGGAACAAAAAATATATTGACTTCAAAACTGAAACTGTAATGATTATCTGAGTTACTTTAATCATGTAGGTACCGTCTAAATGTGGAAAAACTTGAGTGGAATATATATGTTACTGATGTTGGGCAGTGGCAACACTTTGATATGCTTTTTAAGGTATATCTCATTTCATGGTTTTTTATGCTTTGTGTTGGCTACCACATTTTTCTGTTGTGACCAGAATTCTTTACACTCACTTTTTCCAGTTGAGTTGCCCCTGGTTAGTGATGAGTCCTTTGTTTGGCTGATAGGCTACAGCATCCTTGGCCAATTATTTCAGGGGCTAATGTGCATTTTTCCAATGACTTCAATCTTTTTGTGTTCAATGCCTACGTTTTTTCTTTTTTCCAAATTTTCAAGAGAGAAAAGTCACTGATCATGACATATTCCTGATGGTACTGTGCATTTTTCCAATGAGATAAAAAATGTCAGATATCCCTGCCAATTTTTCTTTCAGGCCTTTAGGCATGCAGGATGGCTGCCAAAGGATGAAAATGAGTTCCCAAAATGTACTCATGTTGGTTTTGGTCTTGTTCTTGGGGAAGATGGAAAACGATTTCGAAGTCGCAGCAGTGATACTATTCGATTGGTAGAGTTGCTTGATGAGGCCAAAAAGCGCTGTAAAGCTTCCCTTCTTGAACGCGGTAAAGTATTTATTGGCTGGTGTGGTTTTTATTTCCTTACTTGCATGCAAGCATGAGTGGAGTGAAGTGCAAACCTCAATGAAATGAAGTTTGTGCTTGATAAAATTGTATGAATGTGTGTCCTTTCTAATATGATTTTGTGAGATTCTCAAAAAACTTCGATGGTTAATCTTCCAAATCCTATGTACTCTTAGATGCTGTTAAAGATTGGTCCGAGGAAGAGATTGAAAAAACAGCAGAAGCAGTTGGTTACGGGGCTGTTAAGTACGTTCCTTTAACTAAATCCCTTTTTTCCTCTACATCTACATGCTAAATCATTATTTTGTCCTGGCTATAGCTGTTCTGTTGGTTGCCTCATTATAGATGGATTATCTTGTGCAAAATTGTAGACAGATGTATCAGCTAACAATTTCTTGTTAACAAATTTTTTTGAGCTGTATTTTTATAGGACACTTTAAATTCTGAGCTAATATCTAGATCCTGTTAATGCATACTAATATTCACTATGGTTTCCGGTTGTATTTGCTAAATGCTAGCCCAAATAAATCAGAACAATTAATGAGTTTGCCGGCCATTTCATTCAGTGGTTTTTCCAGCTAAATGCTAGTGTAGGGTGGTATATTTTTGTTTGTCAGCTACGAGGTTTGCTTAGTCAACTCAATTTTCTTCATATATTGCTTTTATTTGACTTGCCAAATCTTTCTCTTGCAGTTTACTTTCGCCTGTGATGAGAATAAGAATTGAGTTGTAGGCCTTTAACCCCTAATGTTAGTGTCTTCAATTTGTGTTTTTGCAGGTATGCTGACTTGAGGATCAACAGATTAACAAATTACACATTCAGCTTTGATCAGATGCTTAATGATAAGGTATTCTCAGTGTATGCTTGTGTAGTTCAGTAAAGAAGCATGTGGATTATTTACAATTTATTTATGGATGCTGTGCCAATTTTATTTCCCTCGTAACAAGCATCATATGAAGTGTAGGGTATCTTTGGAGATTGATGTGTGGTTGGTAACCATGGGTGGTAAATAACTGTTTTAGATTTTATAAATTAAATGCAGGATACACTGATAACTGTCTGTTCTCATCCTTTGATGTTCTCTTCAGTGGTTATCAATTGTGGAGGTCCCTCTAAAGTGTATTCTTCATTTTAAGAACTAGGAGCATTTTATAACTGTTAGCTCCTTATTAACAATGGGTGTCCGAGCTGTTAAGAAAAATGTTGAACCTCCTGTTTACTTTTGTTGAATTCTTCATCCCAATCTAAACTTATCCAATATTAATTTTCTCATCTTCCTAATTTTTTTTGTGAAACAGGGCAATACAGCTGTTTATTTGCAGTATGCACATGCTAGGATCTGTTCTATTATGAGAAAATCTGGTAAAGATATTGAAGAATTAAAGCAAGTAAGTTATTTTTCTTCCCGGGGTGATGATTTACCACTTTATTAAATGCCATAAAGAACTGATATTCAATGCAATTATTTTTCTATCTTGTGCTTTTAATTTGACAGTATTGACATTACAAAATAAGTGGTCTGTCTTTGTTTACACTCTGCCATGGTTGAGTTGATGCTTGTCAATTTTGTTCTCATCTATTATATTTGTGATATGACTTCGTTTCACGTGTGCTTTATACAGTCAGTCAACTAAATACGTTCATTAAATTGTCCACATTCCTTGATACGTATGTTTCAACAACTTTGTGATATGGCTTCGTTTCACGAGCATTTTTTATATTAGTCAACTAAATATCGTTCGTTAAATTGTGCACACTCCTTCATAGTATTTCATGTTATCTATATATATTTTATTGCTTTACAACTAAATAATCTTTTTTGTTTGCTTTTATGCTTTACAATAGTTGAGTTGCTATAATATTTCTTTTTTTAATTTCATTAGTTCTTTACATGTAGATATTCCGAAGTGATGCATTGGTTGTTAATTCTTTTTTAATTAATTAATACAATAACTTTGCATGACAGAATGGGAAGATAGTGTTGGATCATGAAGATGAACGTGCATTGGGGCTTCATTTGATACAATTTCCTGAGGTTAGAGTCCTGAATAACATTAGTCGTTCTTGAGCTTTAAACTCTTCCATGGTAGTAATGTTTTGAATTTTGACATTGCTGTATACTCTCTTATAATCGAAAGGTAACTGCGATGATATGTCGCTGTGTTTTATTTTTCAGGTTTTTGAGGAATCACTGACTAATTTATTGCCCAATGTGCTGTGTGAATACCTCTATAATTTGACAGAAATCTTTACAAAAAAGTTTTATACTAATTGCCAGGTATACTTCTAAAGTCATAATTTCATACTATTTTCTATGCACTTCCTATTCCTATTTTAGTGATACGCATGAAACTGCCAAGTAGCATATTTGTTGTGTTTGATGTGAAAGATAGTTTTATTTATTATTTTGTGAAATAGCGGATGTTGTTCAGTCATCACCTGAAATTTCTCTCTTAGCCTTAGAACTTTCTCAATCATTACTTCCTGTTTAGTGTTATGCACATTAGAAGTTTCGGTGAAAGAATAATGTTTAGATTGGAGTGATGCAATTCTAATTCTTTTCACCATTGGCAGGTTGTGGGGTCGCCTGAGGAAACTAGTAGACTCTTGCTATGTGAAGCAACGGTAACTGTGATGAGGCAGTGCTTTTATCTCCTTGGAATTGTACCTGTATACAGGCTATGACCTGTCTGAAGAGCCTTATATGCAAATTTTTGCCACAGATTTTTTCTTCCCTGGTGTAGGAAACTTATTGTTCTTGCTAATGATCTACCCCTTCGTGTTGTCTTGTAAGAAGTGAAAGTGGGAAAGTAGTGAATGATTGATTGTATTATCGAACAAAGTTATTTCATTGTCTTTTATTTTTCTAATTTAAAACTGTGAAATATGTTTTCTTGATTTTTTTTTTTCATTTAAGGTCTGTATTTAGAAGCATTTTTTTCAGCTTATTAGGTAAATCTATTAAGTATATATAATAATAATAATAATAATAATTTTTAAAACTTTACAATTGTTTGGTTAAAATTTTATAAGATAACATGATGTTTGGTTGGTTTAGGGACAGACCACACCGTCAACAAAGATGTAGAACTTCTTATTCAGAGTGGGCTACCAATAATTACAGTCATGCTCTTCCCCAATCTTAGGTTTATTCATATTAGTTAAACACAAAATAGTTTTAATTGACTTGACAACAAGGTAAGTTAGTTTCAGTGGAATGCTTTTATCATAAAAATATAATATTTAGATATAAACCAAAAATAAGATTTCAAAAACGATTTTAAACTAAGAAATTCACCAAATATTCATATCCAACCATCCTTGTGCGAAAACCTTGTTGTGTTTTCCATAGCAATATCATTTTAGAAAACTATTAGGGTGTCAAACTTTTTTCCTACAAATTCATGTATTTTTTTCATTTTGATTATTATAAATATATATTTAGAAAATAAATAAAAAATTCATAAAAAGTAAAGTTCTTAATTTATCAAAATTATGGTAAAGAAGTATTTATAATAAGTATTATGATTTTATATAAAGCTATAATTCTGTGTAAAATTATAGTATTCATAATATATTAATATTCTTGTCAAAATTTATGCCTAAACTCAAAAGTTACAAATTAAACATATATATCATCTCCAATTTTAGAAAAATGCCTCAGTTGATTGATTCACATAATTTTTTAAATAGTTTTCTTCAACAATAATACTGGACAAATTATTATTCTTCTTCTCACAATTCCATCTATAACAAATTACAAATAATAAGATCTTTCCTTTCTTTTTGAGGAATAGAAGATCTTCTAGCAACCTTTATCAAGAAGGAATTACTTTCTTATTTCTAATATTAACTTCTTGAAAGTCATTCAATTTTTTAAATAGTTTTCTTTCACAATAATACTAGACAAATTATTACTTCCCTTCTCATAATTCCATCCATAACAAATTACAAATAATAAGATCTTTCCTTTATTTTGGAGGAATAGAAGATCTTCTAGCAACTTTTAGCAAGAAGAATTACTTTCTTATTTCCAATATTAACTTCTTGAAAGTTATTCAATTTTTTAAATAGTTTTCTTCCACATTAATACTGGACAAATTATTACTCCCCTTTTCACAATTCCATCCATATCAAATTACAAATAATCAGATTTTTCATTTCTTTTGGAGGAATAGAAGGTCTTCTAACAACCTTTATTAAGAAGGAATTACTTTCTTACTTTCGATATTAACTTTTTGAAAGTCATTCAATTTTTTAAATAGTTTTCTTCCACAATAATATTGGACAAATTATTACTCTCCTTCTCACAATTCCATCCATAACAAATTACAAATAATAAGATATTTCCTTTCTTTTGGAGGAATAGAAGGTATTATAGCAACCTTTACTAAGAAGGAATTACTTTCTTATTTTCAATATTAACTTCTTGAAAGTCATTCAATTTTTTAAATAGTTTTATTTCACAATAATACTGGACAAATTATTACTCCACTTCTCACAATTCCATCCATAACAAATTACAAATAATAAGATTTTTTCTTTCTTTTGGAGGAATAGAATGTATTCTAGCAACCTTTATTAAGAAGGAATTACTTTCTTATTTTCAATATTAACTTCTTGAAAGTCATTCAATTTTTTAAATAGTTTTCTTCCACAATAATATTGGACAAATTATTACTCTCATTCTCATAATTTCATCCATAACAAATTACAAATAATAAGATCTTTCATTTCTTTTGGAGGAATAGAAACTCTTCTAACAATTTTTATCAAGAAGAAATTACTTTCTTATTTCTAATATTAACTTCTTCAAAATCAGTCAATAATTAAGTTATTCTATCAGAGTTTATGATGATATTTGAACACAAATACATAACATATCAATAATATTATGTCTAAAATATCATGCAATTTTGAAATTTTTTAATCAAATAATACTCCCATGCATATATGATTATAAATATTTACAATGTTCCTATTGTCAATTCAATTTAACTACAGTAATATAAATTTACACACACACACATATTTATTATAAATGCTTCTCCTGTTAATCTTTTACCATTAATACAAATAATAAGTATTGATAAAATTATAATCCTTAAATATCACTTTTTTGAAAACTTAAATCCTTTGCTTATACATTTTAATTTTCATTGACTTAATCTATTTTATTAATATTAACCCATGAATAAAAAAGTTATATATGGATTTTTTTAATCTGTCTTGCTCTCATTTGAAAATAAATAAATTATATTGAACCAAATAACTACATATTCTCCTTACCAATATAAATTATTAGATTCTTATTTATATCTATACTAAGGTTCGGGATTATCTAAATTTTTTTATTAATAATAAATAATAGTTTACTATTATACTAAATATTTAAAATAAAATAAGAAGAGAAAAATAAAAAACAAAATATAATAAATAGATATTAAAATTAAAAAATTAGTAGATAAAAAATAAATTTTCAAATTTTAGAGAGAATATTTATATATTTTTAATGTATAAATAAATCTAATAATATTTATAAATGATCTCAATTTTTTTTCTATTTTAAAAATATTATATTTTAATAGATTTTTTTTTATTTTTTATACATTACAATAATTGCGTAAACCAATAAACAAAATAATTAGACAAATAAATACGTTACTGTAAAACAAAAAAAGATAAATAATTGCGTAAAAAGATAGACAAGATAAAATTCTCTCTTTGCCACGCCTCCTTCCTCTCAGCCACAGCCACCACCGACCCACTCGGCGGAGCCACCACCACCACACCTGTCCAGGTTGGAGGGACGGATCATTTTTGTTGTAGAAAAAAATTCCATATTATTATTTGGGCCTGCGCGGACGGTCCGTTTTGGGTTTGTATGGACCGGATACGGTCTAGAAAGAAAGTACCGGTTTTTTAGGCGGTTCGCTCAGACACCCCTATATAACAACGATTTCGAATTGAAGAAAGAAAACTAAAACCCTGCAACTGACCATGACTGTTATGGGTCTAAATCACGATCCTTTGGAACGACCTATGAATCAGTAAGTGATTTTTTTCTTTTCTTCTTCACACATTACTCTACAAAGTTGGAAAAGTTCATCTTTGGTTTCTGTTGTGCTGTGCTGTTATTTCAACTTTTTATGTTTTCCTGCTCTAATAGTATGTGGGGTTGAGTATTTATCCTTGAGACAATAGTTTGAGAAAACAGTACAGTGTATGCTTTATATTTTACACTGTCATCTAATCACGTTTTATAATTTTAACAATGTAAAAGTTTTTGCAATGAAAGTATAATTTAAACATTTTCTGTTGTTCTTTAACCTTTTCCTATTTTGTATGTGCTCATGCTGGTTTTTGTGAACTAAGGTGCAATGGGCGCAACAAGTTACTTGGTGATTCTGGTTTTGACCAAAGGATCCTAACTGCCCCTGTAAAATCTGCTGTTGACAAGTTCCAGCTTCTTCCTGAGTTCCTCAAGGTAACTAACTTATCGTGTAGTGTGAATTGCAATTACATGTGAAGTAGTAACATGGCTATGAGTGGTTGGTTTTCCATAACTTGTTGAAACTTTGTCATGTGGTAGGTTAGGGGATTGGTGAAGCAACATTTGGATTCCTTCAACTATTTTGTGAAGACAGAAATAAAAAAAATTGTCCGCGCTAACAATTTGATCAGGGCCAGTAAGCACCCGCATATATATCTAAGGTACAGATGGTGGTTTGCTTTTATCTTGTGCATTTAGTTGCTTATATCTTGTGCATTTAGTTGTTCTATAACGGGCTGCGGTGGGATTGAGGAATGGAGTCAATTTTTAAGCTTATGAATGACACCTTTGATTTTTCTTGATCACATAATTCTAATAAATCATGGTGATTGGTTTGAAACTTACATTCTTTGTTCTCTAGTCTTTAAAACTTGATCAGCTTTTGGTTGTTTTACTGATTAGTGGATGTACAATGGTTTCTTCTGCAGGTTTTTAAATGTCAAAATTGGTAAACCATCAATAATGGACGAATCTGTTACTGATGACGTTACTCCACAAACCTGCCGCCTAAGTGACCAGACGTGAGATTCATGTCCCTCAAAAACATGATCTAATGTTTAATTGGATATTGCTTAGCTATTGATAGAATTTTAATCGTTGTACAAATATATTCTCTTAAATCACTTGTCAAGTTCTATGAAATTACTGGTTTTTTCATAATGTACTTATTTATTCATTGAAAGTTTTACTTAGACCAATTGCCACACTTTTATTTGTTGTGCTTAATCTCTAACGAATTATGTTTCCCTTTTATGTTGTGTAATAAAAAGGTACGCGGCTCCTATATATGTTGATGTCGAGTACACGCTTGGAAGTCGTGACGATCCTCGTCTACATAAAAGGGTATTTGAGCACTATTGTAATCTGAATTTGATGAAGGTCTGCTTTATAAACTTTGGCTTCTTCTTTTTTTTTTTCATAGATCGGCGTTGAAATTGGAAGAATGCCCATTATGCTCCGGAGTTGTTGTTGTGTCTTGTATGGGAGAGATGAAGCTGAACTTGCTAAACTTGGTTTGTATGAATTTGAAATACATATGGTTATATATATTATTTTTGCCATTGTTCCTGTGTATTTTTTTATAAAAAATCTTATCTGTTTTATTTTTCCTCTCATTAGGCGAGTGCCCCCTTGATCCTGGAGGGTATTTTGTAATTAAAGGGACTGAGAAGGTGATATTCTCACTTCATTTTCTTGTTTCTCCAAGTTAGAGACTCTGGCTGTCATTTAATCTGTTTAGAACAACTGGCACTGGTAAAAATTGAAAATTGAATGAATTAATTGTTAAGTTGAGAACGGTATAGCTACATGGATAAATGGATAAGCATTCTAAATTGACCTATTAAACTTGTTCAATTATTTTAATACTGGATCGGAGATAGTAACTTTCATCTTTTCAATATAATATCATCCAACATTTCCTTCTATTCTTTTCAAATTATGATTTTACTAATCAATTTCAGGTGATTTTGATACAAGAGCAACTGTCAAAGAATAGAATAATTATCGACACTGACAAGAAAGGAAAGTAAGTAATCATTCTTGATGTGATATAAATACAAGCATGTTTAGATCATGTATGGTTTTGACCACCTCCCTCCCCATTTTTTAATCCTACTTGGTAGCCTATATTACAGATGCTCTTAATTGATGTTTCTATTCATTTATCAGGTAATTTACTTTTTTCAGAGTGATAATTAGGTTTGGTGAATGTTGTTGAATATCAAGAAACCCCCTAAAGTGTATACTTTATGTATGCAGATAATTTGTATTTTAATTCATTTAGTTGTAATCCTTAATTCCATGTAATCAAACGATATTATTGTATTTGTTCGTGTATAAAAATATACATCTACTAAGGAATATCTTTCATGCAATCAATCTGTAAACAGTGTGCAGTAGGTTCATTCGTCTGGTATTAACTGAGTTTGGTTATATAGGTTCTGGGAGAATATTCAGTTTCCAGTTAGAAGATAATGAAATATGGAAAGGGCTAATTTTAGTCTCTTAGTTGTTAATATATGTATTTTGATAAAACATGTTATTAATATTAATTCTATTAAGCACCATTGTCCATGTAAAAGACATCCTTAGAGGGAGCTCGGAACTCCAAAGGGTTTTCTCACGAAGTGAGGTAGCACTCAAGGTATGAGAAATTACAAATAAAAAGTTTTTTGCATGAAAACTCTACCAGTTCATAGATGTGAATAAGATTAATTATATTTTATGCTTTGTATGTATGAATCAAAGGATAATATGAAAATTTGGAGTACAAAAATATGATAGTAAAAGCGAAGAGCTTCTTAATGGATATATCGTTTGGGCTAATGTTCTCTTCCTATATTTCTTTTGTTATTTTGGCTTTCAGCATAGCCGCATCTGTTACAAGCAGCACGGAGAAAATAAAAACAAAAACCGTTATTGTAATGGAAAATGAGAAGCTCTGGTTACAATTGAATCAATTTCCTAAGAAGGTTTTCTTTGTGCATATTTTAAACTACTTATTTGGTTTATTTCGCTTTCTTTTTCCATTAAAATTAGCTTCCTCTTTCCATTAAAATTATTCTATAGGTTCCTCTTATGGTAGTTATGAAAGCTATGGGGATGGAGAGTGATCAAGAAGTTACACAGATGGTTGGAAGAGATCCTAGTTATAGTTTTCTACTGTTGCCCTCTATTGAGGTAATTACTAATGTAATACTTGTTATGTCAAATGTGATGATGCTTCTTCTGTTCATAATAAATTCTAAGAGTTTAGAGAAAGAAGGGACTCGTACAATGCATTACATGCTCCTCTATTCATTCTTGGTTTATTCATGGTAGATTATATTGTTATTTAGGTTATCAATTAATTATGAAATATGTTTTGCCCCATAATCAGGAATGTACAAAATGCAAGGTATATACACAAGAGCAAGCATTGGAGTACCTTGAGAAGATGGTGAGCTGAGCAGATGTATTATTTGAGTTTTATCCTACATCACTCTATCTGTCTCTTTTGTTTATATCTTATTTGGACTATGAATAGACATAAATTCCTTAATTATCCAGTTTTAGTACAACCTTTTACCCGTTTTATGATGGTTCCCTGATCTGAATGCAATTTTGTGGAGTTGATTTTCTTAAGTAAATATGCCGATATTTTTCCTTATTCCAGTCTTGTTTTGCGTTTTCTTGGAAATTATTAGTGTGGGGGAGCATCTTTCTTTAATTCTTAATCTTTATTACACGTTAATTTTACTGTTGGAGATGGATTTCTACAGGTCGAAATATTTGTTTTATGTAGTCTCCTTTTACTTTGGCAGTTTCTATGTTTTTAATGTATAATACATCATTTGATTGCTAAAAATGACATTGCAGATATCTGTCTACAGTAGCTAAACTTGCTGTTTTTTTATAGTTTTCTGTCTTTTCTTTCTAACCTTGTTCATAAATGCCTATTTATTTATCTATTAAATTCTGGACTGGAGGGAAGTGCAAACTACCTACTAGTTATCTGCTTTGAGTTATTGTGCAATTCTAAGTTCTTTTTAAGAGGAAGAGAGAAAGAGAGACATGCGAAAATTCCTGTGTTAGAACTACATGATGAAGACCTTAGATAGGCCCTTGTTTAGGATATTTTTTTTTGGGGGGGCGGGGTGTCTCTTGTACAACCTTTGGTATCTTTTATTTGGGGTGGTGGTCCTGGAGGTCTATCTTTGTGACAAGCAGCTAGTCTTCATATTTTCTTATAGAAGAGTTGAGCATTTATATGTGGGGGTACCTTTCCAGGGCTGGGATTGTTAGTTTCAACAGATTTATAGATTTCTGTTTCTGTGTTCTGGTTATTATATGGATTATTCTATTGATTGCCATCTCTTACTGAACTAATCTATCATGCAAAAAGTAGTTAAAAGCAGTTATATGATCTTCTGAAGTCTGCCCAACTCATGCTGTAATATAATAAAAATGACAATTTACAGACAGTTTTTTATTTTGATTTATACACGTTATTCAACTTTTCTAATTTTTACATACATGCACATAATATATTTTTTGTGTATTTATTAATGACTTATGCACTCACCAGGTAAAACGCTCCATGTATTCAAACAATTCAGCTGAAAAGGTTTCCTCTTTCTCTATTTCTCTCGTGAGGGTGATTTTTTGATACATTACAATGCTTGGGATGAAATAATATATTAATCTCTGTTTTTTCTCTTCAATTTTGTGGTTTTGTCATTTGAACCTTTTATACAGGAAGGAAGAGCATATTCTGTCCTAAGAGATGTATTTCTTGCAAATGTGCCTGTAAGATTTCTTTCAATCTTAAGCTGCTCTTGTATTTTGTGTGTTTCTTTGGGACAGTTTATTTCATTCTATTCAGTACATAAGCGAAATTATGAAATAAATGTGAGAAAATGATCTTGAATATGCTTGAGTTCACTGAGCACTCAGCAGAATGTTATATTTATACACATCAAGATAACTCTCCTAAGGTACATCGAAACTGCTGTATTTCTATACAATGAACATTTATTCTGAAGTGAACATTCATTCTGAATCCAAGCAATTCTGGTCAAGCTGGAGTATAGAGTTGCAAAGCATCCAGTTTGTTGCTGATGCAAGTTATCATTGGTCCTTGAAAAATTTGGTGAACAAATATGGCAATTGATCATTTTGATTTTATAAAGGAGGTGCAAATTTCTCTGGAAGCAATCTTCTCATGAATAAACTGAAAATCAACCACTATGTGTTTCATTTGCTAATTGAAGACTGGGTTGGAAACAATATGAAGAGTTGTTTGATTACTGTAGTTTAGTGTGTCATGGTTTGAATGTCCCAAAACTTGAACTCTTTAACGAGTTGTTTTAACCAAATTAGTTCAGAAGTTATCAGAGCAATTTCTTGATATTCTATTTCAGCCTTTGACCATGCAACCACATTTTGTTTCTTGCTCTTCCATAAGATAAGATAACCACCAAATAAAAATAAATTTGGAGACAGATCTCCTTTCACAATGAGTTTTTTAACCAAATTAGTTCAAAAAGTAATTAGAGCAATTTCTTGATATTCTACTTCTGCATTTCACCTTTTAACCACATTTTGTTTCTAGCTCTTCCATGAGATAAGATTACCACCATATAAAAATAATTTGGAGGCAGATCTCCTTTCACAATGAGTTGTTTTAAAAATTAGTTCAAAAGTAATTAGAGCAATTTCTTGATATTCTACTTTTGCATTTGACTTTTTAACCACATTTTGTTCCTAGCTCTCATGAGATAAGATTATCACCAAATAAAAAGAAATTTGGAGGCAGATATCCTTTCACAAGGAGATCCAACCATATCTGCACAAGTGTAGTTAGACAGTATGAGCAGTATTTAGAAGTTTATTCATCAACACTTATTTAGCAAAAGAAATATTTGGTTTGGTTACAGTTAGTTTTCTACTGACCTTGAATTTGCTTGGGTGTGTGACAAGTTCTCCTTGATTAGGCAAAAAACTTGTTTGGGTTCATGGGAGTACCATACTAGTTTACAATGTTGCAAGCCAGTTTCTTGAAGAGAATATCAAGAAAATACATTTTTCACATAATAGTACCAGATTTTGATCCAATAATGGTCCCAAAAAAGTATGACAATCGACCCAAGTGTTTTGTTTCAAAGTGACAGAAAGTAGTGCTGGTGTGTGAATTGTTAGAGGGATAGTTACTGTGATTTCATGGGACAGCTGATAATTAAGTGACACTCCATAAATGGTTTTTGGTCAAAACTTAAAACAGATCGGTGATGGATGGTGGCTGGAAAACTGATGATGGCATCCAGATGGTTGCTTGCTAAACTGACTTACAACCAGTGTCATAAGACTCGACCTGGCCAATTCTATCTGTTTGACTGGTACTGAACATATGACCAGGTTAAGTATCACATTCAATCGGAAACATATGCAGTCTGATTATGACCTCACCAAACCTTCTTTAAACCGGTACAATTTGATACCATTCTGTCCAATTATTTGATTGATGTTGAACTCAATCTATGATGCATTGATACGATACGAGTGTCAGATACGATTTGTATTTGATATGACGATACATTCACTCAAAAGAATAAAGTAGGATACTTATAGGATACATATTTAAAAATATAAAAAAAAAAAATTCATGAAACATTATAACTATAAAGCTACAAGCATACAAATCCAAATTTCAAATCACATTTCTTAGATATTGTGGAAATAAAAAATATAACTAATTATTATTATAAGAATAAATTTTTTCTTTGGTTTAAGAAAAATAATATTTTTATGTTTCTATTTTATAGATACATATATGTTTGTTAAAAACATTTATTGAATATAAATGAAATGATTTAAAAGTTTTGATATTTAACTAACATACACATTGGTAAACTATCTAAAATTATTATTTGTAGAACAAATAAAAATATTGATGTTTCATATAGGTCTCGATACTTCATTGATACGTATTAGGGAAGTATTGGTGAAGTATCCGACATGATATATATCGGATATGGATATGCGAAGCAAGTTGAAGTATCGGTTCTTTATAGAACACAAACGAAGGTAAGTTATCAGCCATGGAAGCCCATGGTGAAATGTTGTCACACATGACCCAAGAATGCTGGTGCAGAGGTGTACTGGCTTTTGTTGTCTCAATTCTCATTCAAGCTTTGCTTTAAAAGAGCTTCCTTTAATATAACTACAAAATTGACATATGTAAGAATTGAAGCCCCACTATTATGGAAGGCTTAGGTGCGCCAGTTTACCTCTACACCATGGAATTCAGTTAGTTTATTTAATATTTATTTACTTTCACTGGGTCATGCGGATCAATTGGTGACTCACTGGTTCTATCAGTAACCTATTATGTCAGAGCAGAGAGATACAGGGTAAAATCTAATAGAAAGGTGTGGCATTAGTTATTAATTTGTTACAACTGATTGTACAAGTATATATAGAGTTCTAGAGAACAGCTCTTATGCTTAGTCAGCATGTAACTAACTGTTCATAAAAAAACTGTTATACACACACATTAGCTATAGTTACACTATATTCTAATACATTAACCCAGTAGCTTGGCTTAAATGCTGGCCAGTAAGATTCTAATAATAATGGACTGAATCCGATCTAATACCAACATAAGAGCAAGTATGAGAGATATGTGAGCAAAATGATTTTGAATATGATTGATCTAACTAAGGACTCAGTGGAGTATCATATTGATAAACATTGAGATCTAATAAACATTAAATTCAATTTACACGATGAATATTTAAGGTTAACTCTACTTTTTTCGGGTACATTGATGAGCATTAGTTCTGAATCTTTTCCAATTTCACTACATCAGTATGCATGTAAGTCGCCTTAGTTGTGTTTAGTTTGGTCTGGTCTTAAATGCTTCTTCTGTTATTAATAGGTGGATGGAGATAATTTTCGGCCAAAATGTATATACGTTGCTGTTATGATGAGACGCATAATGGATGCAATCTTAAATAAAGATGCAATGGATGACAAGGTAATATCTATTTCTCTTTTTCTTTCTTTTATATATATATATAAACGAAGATTTTACTATTAGTGTAGAAGAACAAAATACAGATGCAATATGATAAGAAATTCTCATGAACTAACCAAAACACTATAATAAAGTAAAATATGAAACAAGGATCTGTTTATCTAACAAAGACACCCCTCTGAATGGGAGTCTCATGAGAATGAGTGCTGTAATTGATTCTTGGAGCCATCCTATTCGGAGCTTATATCAGTGCTCCCCAACACTAGATGTTGACAACTCCAGGGCCCTATTGCTTTCTGTCAAGAAGCTTGGCAGAATGGAAATTTTTACCAAGACTCAATGAAGATGTACCCTCTGGTGAAGTGTTTGATTTGTTGCTTCCATAAAAAAATGTTGTTGAAGGGAGAAAGTTGAGTTTTCCAGTGTTGGTTGAGAGGGGATGGGTTGAAATTGTAGAGGCATTAATTGGTGGGTGGGGTGGAGATGGATTGGAAAAAAAAAAAAAAAGGAGTTCCTTCAGCCATGGATTTTTAATCTCATGATACCATGGCATGTTGATAAACTAAAGTAGACGGAGAAATATAAAATCTGAAACTATATTGTTTTCCATTAATTTATACTGAAGTTAATACAACGTATAGATTGAGCTGGAGAACACAACTACTCTCTACTAAAGAGGTTACAGCCGAAACTTAACCATGACCACTGATTGTAACTGGTAGTAATAGGACTAACTTGCTATCATATGGTATATCATCTGCACTGTATTGCAGTACAGATAACCACATATCTTGATTTTGGTTTTGAATTTTGAATTTTTCAAGAAGAAAAACTAGTATTATGTTTCTTTTAACTTGTAGGATTATGTGGGAAACAAGCGATTGGAGTTATCTGGCCAGTTAATATCTCTGCTTTTTGAGGTACTATTGTGTTCAGTTTGACACGTACCTTGCATTTGCAAATATACTTTGTAATTGCATTAATTTCATTAATTTTTAATTTCAATTGAATTATTTCATATACATCTTTCTGGTTCAGGATCTCTTCAAGTCAATGACAACTGAAGTTAAGAATTTGACAGACAAAATGTTAGATAAGCCGGACAAGGCTAGGAATTTTGACATGTCTACTGTAAGCACTCTTTAAACATACTTGAATCAAATTTAATCTTACTAAAGCTATCCTGAATCTCTGACTTGTCACTTTAAAGAGTTTCTTTTATATGGTTCTCTTTCTATCTGACTCTTCTATATTTTGGTACATAAGTCACACATTGAGCAGTATGGGATTTTGGTGGATTATTAAGTGTTTGGTTCACCCTCCTTAAAGTTCTTCCTAATCTAAAAGCCAGAAGCTAATGACACAGTAGTGAATAGAATACTGTAGTAGACTGACGGTGTTATAGTGGAGCAGACTTGAGCTGTAGTGGGATTCAAACAGCAGAGTGGTTTTCTCTTGCCAGCCATAGTGGCTGCTTGGGTGCTCTGCGGCAATGCAACGATATACAGTTTATCATTTTTATTGCTAAAGTAATGTGGGTGATTTTTTGGGTAAATTATGACCCTCCCTCATTTCTAATGCATTTTGGGTAATATGTAGTATAATATATTTGCTGTGTGTTAAATATTTAAAATATTGGCCATAGACTTTTCAAAACTTAATATGTATTCATGTGTTATCATGTAAAATCTATAGATGGTGCTGTTTTCATGTTGTCATGTTTGTTCAGAATTGTTGTTCAGTGCTTTGTTCTTTAAACATGATCCAAGCATGCCTGAATTTCTATTAACATTTGTTCTTCGGGAATGTTCATAGCTTCTTAATCGGACTCAGAATATCATCACTCTAGGCCTGGAAAGGACTCTCTCCACTGGTAATTTTGAAATAAAAAGGTTCAGAATGGAAAGGAAAGGAATGACACAGGTTGTATATTGTCTCCCTTTCAAATATTTATTGCTATCTCTTGATACTTACTATGACAAAGTCACTTCTCTTGCTCGTGTACCAAGGGACCCATGCACGGGATTTGGAATTATCTAACAAATGATATATCCTGTGATGAAATTTCTCTTTCACAGGTGTTACAAAGGTTATCATTTATTGGCGCTATGGGCCACATGACAAGAGTCTCACCACAGTTTGAGAAGTCCAGGAAAGTAAGTGGTCCTAGAGCTTTGCAGCCTAGCCAGGTGAGTACTGCATGGTCCCAGAGCTTTGCAGTCCAATTTGTACCTGATCCTGCTTGGTTGGAAAGAAAAACTTTTTGTTGTATTCTTATATACTTACGAATTTGTACTTTCTTTTCTCATCTCTTTCATTTGATAGTGGGGTATGCTTTGTCCTTGTGATACCCCTGAAGGCGAGGCTTGTGGACTGGTAAAGAACTTGGCTTTGATGACTCATGTTACTACTGATGAAGAGGAGGGCCCCTTAATTTCTATGGTATGTTTTGTGATAACATAGTTCGAAGAAGTTTTCCTTTATTATTTATTATCATTGTAGCTACTTATGTAAAATATTTATATATCTTATATCCATGTAGTGGGGATTTATGGCATTTTCTAAATTTATGTTGAGGTTAAAATTCAATTAAATTGTACAACAGTGCATAGTTACAAATACTTTATCCATCCCTTGGAAACTAACCTTATTTAAATACTTCCATTTTACGTAATTCGCACAATGAAGTTTGACATTTGTTGAGTTTGGAGGAAGTTGCGATGATCTAACTAATAGGCAAAAAAACTCACTAGGGAACATTATAACACCTCCAAATGCCACCAATTTACTGCAGCCATGGGACCCATTGGGCTTTGTTTTGAACTAAAAATGCCCTACCTTGTTCCAAAACTGGAGAGAAAAATAGATGCAAGAGATGCTGAAAACTGTGTGTGATACGAATGAAGAGTGGAGAGAGAATGTGTGATATGTTTGAAGAGTGGAAAAAAACAAAATAAAATTTCAATTATGATATTGTAAAACAAAAAAAAAGTATTAATTTAAAAAATTAATAATATAAAAAATGTGGACACATGTGTCCAGACGCTTGTATTTATATTACATGCGACTAATTTCTAAAACTATTTGTTATAGTAAATCTTAAGATTCGGTATCCCTTCACCCCCAATGGTTTTGGAGATACCTTGTGCTTTCCAGTTTTTTTCTCCCTTTTCTGGAAAAGCTTTTCTCATAAAAAAGTTATGGAAATAGTCCTTGTGCTTGTATTTCAATGTACATTGTTTGTTATTGATGTATAACATAGGAGATTTCCACATACTTCATTCTTAGTGTAGATGTACAACATTTTATTGTGTTTCATATTTCTGCGACAGTGCTATTTATTGGGTGTTGAAGACTTGGAACTTCTCTCTGCAGAGGAGCTTCACACACCTGATTCCTTTCTTGTCATATTTAATGGTTTAATCCTTGGAAAGCACAGGAAGCCGCTGGTATTTGTCTCTCTTTCATCAAATGCATAATTTCTGAAGAAATATACATTCATGATTGTATTCTCATGTATTATTAACCTTAACATTGTTTTTTATTCAAGCGTTTTGCTGCGGCAATAAGAAAGTTGCGGAGAGATGGCAAAATTGGCGAGTTTGTAAGTGTCTATGTCAATGAAAAGCAGGTGAATAATTCTGTTTTTTCTTTTTCAACCCCCACACTTTTACTTGTGTTATTTTCTTTTTATATACTAGTGTATTATTTTACTTCTTTAGGTGGTACAGTTTGCTTTAAATCATAATGTTTATTGTTCTGTACTTCAACTATTGAAACTATGGGAATAAAGGCTGCTCTCAATGTAAAAAAACACATGTTTACAGCATTGTGTCTACTTAGCTTCTGATGGTGGTAGAGTTTGCCGTCCCCTGGTCATTGCTGACAAGGGAATATCAAGAATCAAACAGCATCATATGAAAGAGTTGGTGGTATGTGTATCATATGCTTACATCCTGGAAAGCATAGAAAGTATCCTGTAAAAATTCAATTTTATACCTTTTCAGGACGGAGTACGCACATTTGATGATTTTTTACGAGATGGCTTGCTTGAGTATCTTGATGTTAATGAGGAAAACAACGCATTGGTTTGTTCTTCTCTAATTAAATTTAGTTTCTTTCTTTCATCTATGAAAGCTTATCTAATTCCTGACAGCTAATAATGTCAGTTGCCTTTTTTTCTCTGTAGATTGCTTTATATGAAGGAGATGCCACGTCAGAAACAACGCATATTGAGATTGAGCCTTTTACCATCTTGGGAGTTATTGCAGGGTTAATACCATATCCTCATCACAATCAGTCACCCAGAAACACATATCAGGTTCTCCTTCCTCCCTCCCTCTCTCTATGTATAAACTACCCGAATTGCACTTTTATGAATGAAATGTGTTCCTCTCTACCAACCTTAAATTACTGCTGTTTTGCTCACTGTAGTGTGCAATGGGTAAGCAAGCTATGGGAAATATAGCATATAACCAGGTAAGTAAAGTTTTCTTATGTGACTCGAGTTCAACAATTGCATGGAGTTTAGACTTCACTAAGTTATTGCCCCATTTTTAAAAAACCATCAAGTTTAGACTTGTGTCTTGAATGAATCAATATTCAATAACTTCACCATAATGTATGCATGTAAGTAAGTAGATACAAACATGCAAATTTGGGTCCACATGGATCTAGATTCAAATTTCTCAATTTTTGCATATGACTTCATTTTTAACATAAGTTATGAATGCTTATGGTGTGTTCATGAACCATATTTCTTCACTCACTTTTTAGTGGAGTAGGGTTAATCAGGGTAGAGAAAATTCCAATGTACATAATTGATGAACTTGTATCTGTCTTGTTGTAGCTGCGCCGGATGGACAGCTTGCTTTACCTACTCGTTTATCCTCAAAGGCCTTTACTGACCACAAAGACCATTGAGCTGGTGAGTATAATCTCTTTGTTTAATTTGTTGATAATTTGAAAGGCTTTGATTAATCTATTTCATTTTAGGTTGGATATGATAAACTTGGAGCTGGTCAAAATGCCACTGTAGCTGTAATGAGCTATAGTGGTTATGATATAGAAGATGCCATTGTCATGAACAAGGCATCTCTTGATCGTGGATTTGGTCGTTGTATTGTTATGAAGAAGTATGCAATTTTATTTGGTGATTTTATGCTTTTAGTTACTATTTATTTTATTGTCTAAGCTTTTAAGGTAGCACTTTTGACTTTGATCTTACCATCTATGTAGGTATAGTGCTGTCATTCAAAAGCATTCTAATGACACATCAGATCGAATACTTAGGCCTAATAGAACTGCAGACACTGCAGGACGAATGCAGGTAATGTCTTCATAGTAAATAGAAGTTGATTATTATTTCATTTTACTCTAGTTATTTGCGTATTATTTAGGTTTAATTTATCTTATAATCCGTTGGATAAAGTGACACTTTACTAACTTTTTTTCTTGAAGTTAATTTTATTAATGTAGTTGTTAAATTTAAAGGTTTATACAGTATATCAACTATACAAAATTGCATAAAATTTAAAGATGTGTACATACACCTTGTTGCATCACTTTAATGTACAGTATGGTAATTGAAGCATACATAAAGCTACTATTGATTTACACACACACACACACACACACACACACACACACACACACTATATATATATATATATATATATATATATGTCTCAATTATGTAAAATTTTATATTGATCTGTAAATTATCTAGGAAAAAAGGGTGATTTCATTCCATGAATCAATTGGGTACATAAAAGGTTCAAATAGATGTATACATACATTAAGTAGGATCCTTAAAGGAAGGAAAGAAAATAAAATTCTATCCTGATATGTACAATTTATAAAATACAGATAAATGGAAATATAATTTGACTAACAGTTAGAGATAAAATTTATGTTTTGGTAAAAAGTTATTGGAAGTTTATGTATAAAATTTGACACTTGGTGTCAGGTAATCATATCTCGTAGATTTGTGTCTGTGTTCTCTTGAACACGATTTAAAGAGTACTGCATTCAAGATAGCTATGGTTAGGATGAGGTGTGGGTTTACCATAATGATTGTTGCTCGTGAGTAGCACACTGAACACGAGAAACTGTTATGCCTTGTTGGTCAAGTTTTATGTATTGAATGTAAATGTTGTATGTCATTAATGTACAGATTTATCTTGGGCCACAAGTCATAATAAGTATTTATTATATTTATTTTCTTAGATGACCTTTAGTTGATTTTGTAAATAACAAATATGGATAAAACATTTGTTCTCTATCTCGAGCAGGAATTATTGAATTAATCACATGTTGCTTATACTTCTTGTTTACTTTGTAGTCGTATATCTTTCTTAAAGTATTGTAATTTATAGCATATATAAGTGTTATAATTACAATTATGTGTAAACCAGACTATTGTGTTAACACACTACACAATTCCTTGTACTGCTTTACCTGTTATTATTGATTCAATTTATATAGTTGTCTGAAATTGTTCCCAATGCCATTGGTTGTTTTCTTGCTTCGTGTAGATACTTGATGATGATGGTATTGCTGCTCCAGGAGAAATTCTTAAGCCATTTGACATCTATGTCAATAAACAATCACCAATTGATACACGTACTCCAAAATCAGGATCTGCAGCAAATTTGCCTGATAGGTTTGTATTTTGTTTTTAAATTTGGTTCTAATCATTGTTGGTTATGTTGGTTCACATTTTTTTCTAATGTGTTTCCTTTTAAGCAGTGCATATCGGTCCAATGCTCAATCATTCAAGGGGCATGGGGGAGAAGTAATTGATAGGGTGGTTCTATGCTCTGATAAGGATAAAAACATGTGTATCAAATTTCTGATTCGTCACACTCGTAGGCCTGAGGTAAATTCGATTTTGGTTTATTATGACTTAGTGTTTTTTGTTATAAATAGTGTATTCATTTGTAGTCTGATTTGTTGCATTAGCTTGGCGATAAATTTAGCAGCAGACATGGGCAAAAAGGTGTTTGCGGAACTATTGTCCAGCAAGAAGACTTCCCATTTTCAGAGAAAGGCATTTGTCCTGATCTGATTATGAATCCTCATGGTTTCCCAAGGTACTATAACTCATTTTACATGTCATTTTTCCACATGATATATAGGCAGGGAACCATCTTTACTTTAAGCAAATAACTCATTCCATCTAATTTTGGATCTTCTGTGTTCCTTCAACTGAAATAATTTATGCAGGGAACCATCTTCACTTTAGGAAAATAACTAAAATAATTTGTGATCATTTTGGATATTTTTCTGTTCCTTCAATGACATGATTCTAATCCAAAGTTCTAAGGCTAATCTATAGCTAGATGAATAGCTTTACTACGTGGTCAACAATTTCCATCCTCTATAGGAACAATTTGCATTTTTGTAGGACTTGGAAAATTGGAAAAGCTAATGTTATTTATAATAAGTCAACGGTAGCAGGTGAATAAAATGTGTACCATCATATCTGTCCCAAATGCTTAAAATTAGCGGAACAATTTCCATCCTCCATAGGAACAATTTGCATTTTTGTAGGACTTGGAAAATTGGAAAAGCTAATGTTATTTATAATAAGTCAACGGTAGCAGGTGAATAAAATGTGTACCATCATATTTGTCCCAAATGCTTAAAATTAGCGGAACGAATTGTGAGCTAATTAAGTGATAGGGACTTGGGTGTTATGGGGTACCAAAGTCCCACATCTAGTAGTATGAAATGCTCGTGGAGTATATATGTGTTGGTTTTTCCCCTTAATATTTAACTTTTGATGGTGGGTTTCCTAAGTGTTGAAGAGGGAAAGCTGTTGAGATGTCGATTCTTAGAGGTGGTGCTATCTAATCTAAGTGCTTAGTGTTTCACATTGAGGGTGTGTTCCCCAAGTGCTTAGGTACTTATCATTTGAACACAATAGTTAGTATATTTTGTGGCCACAAATTAATTATAAGCCATTAATAAACTCAAATTGCTGTCAATAGCCAATAAGATCTGAATTCTGAACTTGAAGATTATTGTTATTTTCCTTCATGTAAATAAAATTTTGACCTTTATGGAATTCAAGGCTGTTGTAAAGAATACTTAATTGCATTTGATATCCTATTTGGCACAGATCAGACTATTAATAAAAAAAAAACTTATGTTTTCACTCCTATGCCTATTGCCAATAAACAAGTTTATTTTTAAATGAATAAATATGTAATATGACCTGTTTGAGAATGGGAACTAATTTTTGTTAATGGTATCAGTCGAATGACTGTTGGAAAGATGATAGAGCTTCTTGGAGGGAAAGCAGGTGTTTCATGCGGTAGGTTTCACTACGGCAGTGCTTTTGGAGAAAGAAGTGGTCATGCCGACAAGGTGGAAGCCATAAGGTATCTTGATTGACTTTTGTATGACATTCATTCCTTAATTTATCTATATCTGTATTCTCATAGTTTCATGCTCTAACAGTGAAACTCTTGTGAGTAAAGGCTTCAACTACAGTGGGAAAGATTTCATTTATTCAGGTTTTTATTTTCTTAGTTCATATTACCATTGAATTTGTATATAATGTATTTATGGAAAATGTCATTACGAAGCAACAATAGTTTAATTTGTTCTATACACTGTATCTGATACTTATACTGATACTCTTAAATACCTTACCAATATGTGTATGTGGAGTATCCAAGTCGTTAAAAAATGAAAAATCCAACACCATTAATGTATGAGGCATAAAAGATATATATATATATATATATATATATATATTGTCTGTTGATGAATTTATGAAGAAATGAGATTGGTACTATATTTCTTTATTGACAATAGGTAGTGATTTATGCTGACAATGATTCTTAATTTTTATTTTGTTTTTAGTGATGTCTAAGAAGTATGTTCTCAATTTAAATTTACATAATTGCAATTATATATTTATTATGTTTAATGAATTTCTCTACATATCTAGATATGTATCTTACACATCATAGATTTGAAAATATTTGTATCATTGTATCAAATGCATATATGTATTTTATTTGTGCATCATTAAATATGACTGTATATTTCTTAGACTTTTGGCATTGCTTGTGGTGAATGTTAGAAATTGCTAATAAAATTTGAAGAATTTGTTTTTTGGAGGAATATACTTCACAGTTATTTAGGTAAGACATTTGACTTCGTTTTATATTTTGACACGAATAGAGACAAGGTCTTTATTTAGTTCTCAGTGATACCTCTTTGTTGTTAGATCTGTTTCTTATTGCATGTTTTGAATTTCTTGTTTTGCATTGACAATAAATACTGTTATACACAAGCAATGTTATTTATCCTTTTATATGGGTGCTATTTTTCTTTTTCTATTTCTTTTTCAGGTATTACAGGTTGTCCACTGCAAGCATATATTTTCATGGGTCCAATTTACTACCAGAAATTAAAACATATGGTTAGTGAAGTCCTTCCAAATAATATTTTCTCTCAAGCTCCTACCAAAAACATAACAATATCCGTGCTCCAGTTTGCAGATGAGGGTGTTAGAATCCCGTAAATATTCAAGATGTGTCTAGTCTATTTCGTTATATTACCATGTAGTTAATTCCTTTAATTATTTAGGAAACGATGAACTACTATCGGGTTGTTTCATTAAACGTGAATTTAACTCTTCTCATTTTACTATCTGTTGAAATGAAAGAATGATTGTTAATTCCGTGATAACAGCTGCGTATCTAATACATACAAGACTTAATTCATTATTGTCATAAATTTAGGGATTCAGAATCAATCTATTTATAGTAATAATTGATAATTTCCCTGATTTCATAAATGGGCATCGTTCCCTAATTATACCAAGAAATATGCTCTACCCATACTCAATGTAAAACATTTTCCAACAAATCCTCTTCTATTGGATGAAATTCATGGGAATTATCAATTATAATGACCTGATTTTTTATTTAGCCTATAGACTTACTTGGAGAAAGTAATTTTTTTTCTTTATCAGTTGTAACTTGCCTGTGTATAAGTTCACAAGTAACAGCTGTGGTGTTGATCAGGTGCTTGATAAGATGCACGCTCGTGGTAGTGGCCCTCGTGTCATGCTAACTAGACAGCCTACGGAAGGGAGAGCTAGAAATGGAGGTTTATTATTTATACTTTCTTGATAAGTTTTAGAATTTATTACATTTTAGTGAAAAATCCTACTGGCAACACTGCTCCTGTTCCCTACTTTACTAGAGTGGTATCTTTATATTTTATTTTCTGCTGTTCTGTTCATTGCCTCTTCAAATAGTTTTCTATTTCTTACATAATTATTTTCAGGTCTTCGTGTTGGAGAAATGGAACGTGATTGCTTAATTGCATATGGTGCTAGTATGTTAATTTATGAACGACTTATGTTGTCTAGTGATCCTTTTGAAGTTCAGGTAACAATCTGAACTTTATGTTAATACCACATGTCTACATTCTTTATTGCATTTCAACAGTGTATATCTGCTGTTATCTCTTTAAAATCAATCTGTGTGATGATAATTTGCTTTTACCCAGGTATGTACAGCATGTGGGTTGCTAGGATATTACAACCATAAACTAAAAACTGGTATTTGTTCATCTTGTAAAAACGGAGACAACATTTCTACCATGAAGCTGCCATATGCATGCAAACTCATGATTCAGGTATAATGTGTTACAATATCTTTTGATATTTAGCGTAGGAAATATTGTATATGTACGTATTATAGAATCAACTATGAGCAGGTCCTAGAACCTATTGTAGGATTGTAAACCTTAATAATTAGCAATGAATCATTTTAATTATGCTCATATATAGAGAGAGCTTTTATCGAAATGCAGTTCTGAGAAACATATCAACAAAGTTGCACTCTTAGCCTATCTTTCGTTACTCGATTCTACATTTCGTTTTGAAATTGCTCTTCAATTTGAATTGAAACCATTCCTCATTCTATTACCCGTGGCCTATGATTAGCAGGCTGTGTTTTTTCTAATGTTCAATAAAGCTTTGTTTTAGTTGCCAGTGTTGTCTGGACATTTATAAAATTGCTCACAATATGCATTTTATTTTCTTCGGATGGTTTTGTCTAACTTCTTTTTCTTGTTGATAAATTTGATTTGATTCTCAATTTTCAGGAACTCCAGTCAATGAATATTGTTCCCCGCTTAAAACTGGCAGATGCGTAAGAATATCCAATTCTGGGAAATACAGAAATTACTGTTTGGGCTGGGCATATTGCAAGGCAGAAAAATTGCCATTCACCACTGTTCATGAAGTTTTGCTGATTCTTATGTATATAATCATCCTCTTCAATTTTCCTCAACCCTCTCCCCTTCTTTACCCTGAAATAATTATAGAACTTAGGACCTGATTGTTTATTAGTTTTTTCATTTAAAGCTGTTGTCTACACTTCAACAGTCAATTTCTAATATAAAATTTGTTAAAACTTTTAAAATTTGTTTTTAAAGAATGTTATCTTAAACTGTTTTAAAACAAATATCCTACATTTATTATATGCTCTAAAGAAATGAATGTAGATAATAAACAATAATAAGATTAAAAACAAATAATGATTTGTTAATGAATGTAATCATAAAACTGTTTAATAAAAATGTTTTTTCATATTAGTTGGAGAGAAAGTGACCGAAAAATGTTTTTTTTTTCATTTAAATGGAAATTCAAACGTTTTTTTCTTTCACTTTCATTGTATTCAAAATTTTCGCTTTTCTTATTTGCTTTCCTATAAACTAAACATAGGGTTCATGCCTCAAATAACAAATATGAAACCCATAAAAATAAAACAAATTTATATTTTATATTTTATTAAAATAAAGGATAACATAATAACTAAAAGATAGTATTATTATTCATGCAAGTACACAGTTTTTCTACATTGGCTCGAATTGTGCTCCGTAAACATGAATTTTAATTGAAAATTTCAAAATCCTCTTAAATATTCAACACAATTTTAAATATATATTCACATATTTTTTTTATATTAAAAATTAATTTTGAGTTAATAATTATATTTCAGTATTTTAAGTTTTGAATAAAAAATATAAATCATAATGTACTCTTGACTTATTTTTAAAATAACAATATGAAAAAATAATTTATTCTATTCTGAAGCCAATTTTGATAAAAACTAATTCGAAATACTATGACTGCGGAGTGTTCATTGATTCAAATTAAATTAACCAATTAAACAATTTCAAAATTTTAATCTATTCAAATCAAATTGAACCAAAGCCAAATAATTTATTTGTATATCTTAATATTTTTTTCATTAATTTTATGTACAAAATTTGGTGGTATAATTATATATTTTTTTGTAATGTTATTATTTATTTATTTACACTTTCTAATTATAGATTATGTATAAGTACTTTACTAAAATTATACAATTTTAAATAGAATTTAACATATTACAAAAATATAAGATTCTATTAATATTAATTGAATTAACCAATCTTAAACCGTCTTATTTAGTTCAGATTATAAAAATTATTGAAAAATCTGAATGGATTTTGATTGTTTTGAATTTTAACCTACATTCTGAAAATTTTAATTCACTATCCGAACGAACCGGTTCAGTCCACTATCTCATGTGCACGTCAAAGTGAACCGAACCGGCTATCCTAAACATAAACTCAAATATAACACAAACCACTTGATTTGATATTAATTAGGACGTTAGTTAAAAATATATCATATTTTAAAATTAATTTTAATTATACTTATCGAAAATATTAGATGAAAATTAATTATCAAGTTATCATGTATGTTAAAATCGGTCAAAATAATAGATGAAAACGTTAAATAGATATTATGAATAATAAATTTGAGTATTTTGATTATTTATTTGTTAATAGGAGAATATAATATCTAATAACCGTTAACCATTCTTATCATATATATTTTCTAAATGAAATTATATTATGAGTGAAAAACTATTAATTATTAAAAAATCATTTATAATTATATAGAAAGAATCGTCTGATTCCATTGCGAACCAAAGATTTTGTTTCATCAAAACCGTGTTTGGATTTGGAATTGGAGAGTTTCTTTCAAACAAATACTCTCAATAATAATCCCAAACATATTTATTTATTGGTTAAGCTGAGAATAATAGCGAAACGCAATGAGAAGTAGTAGAAGCAGTTGATCGCAAAGCGCGATGGGGAACAAAATCGCGCGCACGACGCAGGTTTCGGCGTCGGAGTACTACCTGCATGACCTGCCGTCGACGTACAATCTGGTTCTGAAGGAGGTTTTAGGTCGTGGCCGTTTCTTCAAGTCCATTCAGTGCAAACACGACGAGGGTTTGGTTCTCGTCAAGGTCTATTTCAAGCGCGGCGATTTCCTTGATCTCTCCGACTACGAACGCCGTCTCTCTCAGATCAAACAAATTTTCTCCTCCATCGATCAACCTCACGTTTGGCCGTTTCAGGTCTCCCCCTGCTTTATTGAATCAATTCTTCCTTCATTTTGATAATTACTTAATTAATTAGTCAGTCTAGTAATTCGTTTTTAGAATGTCCGATTTTGTGTATTTAAAAATTTCACGTTGATAACGTTGAAATATTAGGTAAATGTTTATATGTTTAGTTCCACTTTGAAAGATTAATTTTGACTCAAGAAGATTGACTTGAAGTAACCCTAGGAAACTTTTGCATTGAATAAAAAAAAGTTGTTTGGTGACTGAGTTTTCCTAGTAAATGTGTGGTGACAACTAAAATCTTCAGCTGCATTTTAGGGAAATAGGCTGTTTGCAGAATAAACTGTGTTTGGATTAACTATTGAAAGTCGTAAAAAAAGATTTAATAAAAGAAAATTGAAAAAAATAAGTTGTTTTCTTTTTGTATTGAAATTTGTAACTCCTATTTTTTTTTTTTTCTAATGTTGGTTTTTATCTCTTTCAGCTTTATACATGTTTTTTTTTCTTTTTCTCATTTAAAAGCTGATTTTTCTTTTGTTGCATTCAATCGAAATTATTTTAAACCTCTTTCAGCAAACTTACCTAAATAAAAAGTATTTTTTATTATAATTGATTGTAACAAGAATCTATATAATTGATTATTTAAATAATTTAATTATCGCAACTGTCTCAAACTCACCATAAATGTTTGTTTGGTTTATCATCCAACAGCAGTAGTCTGCGTCACAGCATAAGCAGCTAGTATTAGCGTCTGCGTCATTTTGTAATTTGAAGTGTATTGAAACACACATAACTTGCTTTTAGAATGAATACATCAAAACACGAGTCACACCTCTTCAAAAACAATTAATTTCGAAAAATCTAATTTTGTTAAAAATCAATTCTCGACACTTATCCAAAGACATGCTGAATTGTTTGGAACTGAGCGTGTGAGTGTCTTGTGTTGCAGTTTTGGCAAGAAACGGATAAAGCAGCTTACCTTTTGAGGCAGTATTTCTTCCATAATTTGCATGATAGGTTAAGCACTCGACCATTTCTTAGTCTTGTTGAGAAGAAATGGTTGGCTTTTCAGGTATTATCGTCATTCTTCATTAACTTGTCCACAGTTTTAGTTAGCAGCGGATGGATTTGAAGTTGGATTTGTTTTTGTTAATTTGTTGTTTGTGGGTAATGTACAGTTGCTTGTAGCTGTAAACCAGTGCCACGAGAATGGAGTGTGTCATGGTAAGCCTTGATTTAACTGAAATCCATCTTTCAAAGATGTACACTTAGAGAAGCCAGGATATAGAGCGGATAAGGATTTATTAGCTGATAATAATATACATTCTCTTATCATGGCTTGACTGTCAATGCATTGATGTTATTTGTTATTTGCCTTATTTTTAAGGTGATATCAAGTGTGAGAATGTGCTGATTACCTCCTCCAATTGGCTTTACCTTGCTGACTTTGCATCTTTCAAACCCACTTACATTCCATATGATGACCCATCCGATTTCTCTTTTTTCTTTGACACTGGCGGACGAAGACTCTGTTATCTTGCACCTGAGGTTTGTTCTGTTCCCATCTATGTCTATTTCTTTTATTTTTTGTTGTATTTCTTATTTCAACTGTTTGCTCATCCAAGATGCATTTTTTCTACAACTGAGTTAGATCTACATATGTTATGACTGTATTTTCTCTTATTCCTTGTTTTAACCGATACAAGTTTTAGTACAAAGATGCTAGTGGAGTGCTTACTAGGTAACCCTCTGTTTTAGAGGGTTAATTTAATTATGAATTCTGCACGTGGGCCTTGACATGTGGGCCTTGATGGATTGATTCAACAAAGACTCTTATGCTACGAAATATTTGCATACGGGACATCTGTGCATGAAAATTGAAACTAACATGAACAAAAATCTGTCATGATCTTAGAGGGCCAGTTTCTAGGCTTTTTTGTTATATTAACAATTTTGACCTTTATTGCAAAATTATTGTACTGGTGTCTTTTTAACCTTTATTGCACAAAATTTATCTTGATCTTTTTTGTTTTATTATAAAATAGAAAAATGCATTTAGTGTTGAAAACTTTTAATCCTTATAGTGTGCCACTACTTACGTGTGTTCTTGTTAGTCACTTCTTGTTGGTACCTAACATGATTAATTTACTAACTCTCTCATTCTTTCTATTTCTTTCATTCATTATTTTGGGGTTTGGCATTTCAGAGATTTTATGAACATGGAGGGGAGATGCAAGTGACTCAAGATACCCCCTTAAAACCCTATATGGATATATTCGCCGTCGGGTCAGCATTCTTTACTGCGAGAATCTTAATCTAGAACATGTTTTAGTTTTCAACCTTCCTTGTTTCAGGCTGGAGAAATAAGAATATTTATGCACATTAATTTAAGTAACTGACTAAGCAATGCTGAAAATAATTGATCTGCAAGGCATTATACTGTTGTAGTAATGGTGAGGTAGAGGTGATGTTTTAGTCTGCTATTGATTTGATTTTTATATAAATTATGTTGAACCTTGACTGTCTAGGTCTATTTTGTTGAAGCAGTAACTAATACTGTGTTATAGTTATATCATGTTCTTAAATACTATTTTCTTGTTATGCTTTTGTTCTTTATTTCTAAGTTGAAAGTATCATTTTACATCTTCAGGTGTGTAATTGCCGAACTTTTCCTTGAGGGGCAGCCGCTATTTGAACTTTCTCAACTTCTTGCTTATCGCAGAGGGCAATATGATCCAAGTCAACTCC